GGTGCCCAGGGAGAGGTAAAGCAGTGCTTACGGGCGCGGAGCTCTGGGAAAGGGTAGGTGTAAGCTATTGGGGATTCTGAGGGAGCCAGCACTAGTCTTGTGGCCTACTCAGTTGGACTGTGGGATCTCCGCTCTCAGAACGGAGCGCTACACAGAGGAACTGCATCCTGAGAGCATGCTTAGAAGCCCAAAGACAGAGGCAGTGCCTGGGCTCTGCTCAGTCTCAAGAAGCCTAAGAGCCCTCAGGCCAAGTGTGTGGGGCCCAAACACAGCAGCCTGGTGCATGTCCAGCAGGGAGAGCTTTTCTAGGGCTGTGACGCACACACTCTATCTACCCCCGTTGAAATCAATGAATAAACCCAGATTGACTTGAATGGGAATCGGATGGGAATCTTAGTGAACAAATCAATGCCCATATGTCTAATTATAGATTTGCTAAAATGTTAGTCTCGTGTGGTCCAGCCCAAAACCTCATTTCTGAGCTAATTTTAAGAAAGTCCCTAATTTTGAGAAAGTCCAGCTCTAGATCTGAACTTCTTAGTTCAGAACACATCTATATTTATAATAGAGAATATCAGATATGGCTGTTGACTAAACTAGTTAGTTTATGGAATATCTAAAATAGTCAACTGAGTTGTACCAGGAATCAATTTAACACATATATAGAATTTCAAGGGACTTCACCCAACATTTAAAATTACAAGGAAAGGGGAGGGATATTTGTACATGAATGAAGACCAGGATTTGTACACACAAATGTAATTTGCATGTGCCAGGTCTGGCCAATCACCACATGCAGTTGTGTTTTATGTGTGCAGAATGTAGGCGCACAAATTATGCCAATGGTTTTAGAGATTACCATTGAAAATGTTCCTGTCTGTGTTAAACTGAATGTTATTTTAAAACAAGAAAATTGGTCAGTACACTTTTTTCTCGGGGAGTTCATGGAGGATTGTAACCTCTACGGCCACCCTTAGTGTCCTGTTTTGCAGTCAGAAAGCTTCTGGCAAAGGTTGAGCAGAGATGAATCATTTCTGGAGTACAACAATACAGACAAAGTTTTCAGGGACCAAGGGATGAACAAGTGATACCTGAAACTGCCCCCTAATGTGTGCAATGAACAGTAGAGGGAGGGGCTTAAATGGGTGAAGTATTAATTCTGTTAACATTTGTTTTTTGCATAAGGTCATAAACAGGAGGCAAGCCCTATGTTCATTTGGAAGAGGGAAACTGGGGACTAAAATGACAGGTGGTACATAGTATGAGGGACAGTTCAGAGGATCTGAGTACTGCTCTTCATACACCGGAAGGCGCTGTTGTTGAGCAAAGAATAGGAACAATGGGGAAATGAATGAGGCAAGATCATTTGGGATACATTTTCACTATGGTGTTGGATCCTGTAAAGCTGAGGACTTCTGCATATTTCCATATTTATATATGAAAATCTCACAAAGTGGCTTAAAGGCAACTGAAATAAAAACAGGGCTGTCAGAGCTGGAAAAGTACCAGCAAATTTCTAAAAGCCCATTTAATACAAATGTATGGATTTGAGCAGGCAGAGGAATTTTGTGTGCAAAATGCTCACCAAACCCACATTTGGAACCAGTTAGATCTGGCTGCTACTGAAATTGGGTGGTGCATTGGGCTAACATGAGTTTGCCGGCTTGGGGTCCTTCAAACCTGGCTTAGATCACAAGTGCAATGAATTTGGGGCCTCAGCTTAGATCCTTATGATGCTTTGCATCCATTACAAAAACACTACGCTGTTAGTAGACTCTACTTGGAAAAGACATCATATTGGTGTAGCAGGAAACACTATATGTTAGGAATGAGTTGCACTGGCAGAGCTGCATGTGGGCCCAGTCCTGGAACAGAAGAGGGTGGTGCTGCCAGCTGGGACTGATCTAGGGGTTGAAGGGAATCTTCTACAGCGCCTGCCCACATTGGTTCTCATCAGTGCTACCTATTGTGAGCATTACCACACCATGAGCCAATTTCATAATGTTACTGCTAAAAGTATGTGCTATGACTATCAAGATATCAGTATAATGTCTCTGTAACTGTAAGCACTGGGGGCCAGCTCCTCCACCCTGGCACAAGCCCAGAGGAAGTTACTTTGTACAGAATTCTCCATGGGGCTGAGCTACAGTAGTGGCCCATGTCCTCCCTTTCTGTAATTGTGTACTCACTGCCCATGCTTTTGCCCTTCCCTGCACCACTCTCAGTCTCTCCACATTGCTATGAAGGGAGCCACAGCAGAACATTGCTCCACATATTGTAGGGAAGTAGAGTCCCCCAAGGGGGATCTTGGCAGTCTACCTCACTGTCGATACAGCAGATCCCCCATAGCTCTGCTGCATTTAGGGACCTCCCTGCCGTTAGAAAGGGTGACTTCACTGAGAGGGAGATCCAAGCTTAAGATCTGGATTGAATGGCTTGGCAGCTGCAACTAAGGAAGCTCGTACACAAACAGAGTAACTCTTGATATGTTTCTGTTGTATTCATGGAATAACAGGGAAACCTGCTGCAGCTAATTTAATACCTGTGAATTCCTACAGCTGGTAATGTGAGACCATGTGGCAGAGTAGGTAAAGTGTGCGGATTATACTGCAAAGAGAGTGAATTCACAACGTACTAAGGTTGCATTTTTATCAACATTTCTATTTACTGTTCTCCGATCCATCTCTAGTGACTGTGCCCTTTCATATCTAATTTTTGGTTATCAGTCAAAATAGCATTCTAGAATCACTGGTCTGGATCCTCCTTTCAGGCCTCTGTTTTTTTTGTGGGTCTGTTCCTGTGGATTAATTTGAAGAGTCACTACAGCGGGCTAGACTCACGTTTGATGCTAGGTCAAAGGCCTATTGCACAGGCCCGGAGCAGTACTGCAGGCTCCAAAGTTGTTATTTCCCAGACAATCCCTGCCTACCACCTTCCTGTTCTTGACTCTTTTTATTCCTTGCTCCCTTTGCTCTTCACCACTATAGTACCTGCCCCTTTGTATCTTTCTCCCACTCTGATCTTTGTACTTATTACCATTCAGCCTCCTGTGTCGGAGACCTGGCCCTGGCTCTGCCATGCTTCAACCCACTTCTCATTCAGCTCCCTCCTGAAAATGCAGGCCTTCCAAAAGGCCTCGCCATCACCATGCAGAAGGTTTGTCTAATGAGTAGGGCACTAGAAACTTGGTGTAAATTCCTGCCTCTGCCACAGTCTTCCTGTGTGATTTTGGACAAGTCAATTAATCTGCTGTGTGCCTCTGTTCCCCAACTGTACAGTGGGGATAATACTTCCCTACCTCATGGGGGTTTTGTGTGGATAAAATCCATTAATGCTTGTGCTCAGACGCTATGGGGATGAAGGCCATATAAGTAACTAGATGGACAGAGACTTGCTAACCAGCTGAAACTCCTATAAAATAAAAAATCCATCCATAACCCAAGGAACTGCAGGCAAGCAAAGCCCTCAATATTTAACTACACTGCCTCCCATTACAGATCCTTGCTCACCTTCACCTGTATATTGGCTTTTTAGGCCCTGATCCTCCATAGGGTTCTGCATAGTGTATGGGCCCTGCCTGGATGGTTCTCAGTGCAAGATCGGGGCCTAGATTTTATAGGCCTGGGATCTCGGAATGACTCTCAACCTTCATGTATATATCAAGGAAAGAAGCTGTGGAGAACGTTAGGGGGTGTGTGTTGCATTAATATTATTATAAGTACAAGGTATGTGAGAGGTAAAATATGTAGGTGGCAGTTAGATAGTGGTTTGTATCCTAAGGCCTCTGAGGGCCCTTTGGGCATCTATGGGCCACCCTGAAATGTTAGTTTGAAAGTCAGTTGTGGGACGGAGTGTGGAGCCTTCCCAGATGGAGCTGGTTCGGTCCAGGCTTGCTGAAGTTGCCAAGAAAAGTCTCCCCAACCCAGATTCCAGAGACTGGTCCATCAGGGATGGTGGAGGACTGGGTTGTTGAGAGGGTAGCAGAGGGACCAGATTGGGAGAACATCAGACTCCATGGCTTATGAAAAGGAAGCCTGAACTGGGGTATGAAATGAGACTTTATGGGCCTTGAAAAGGAAAGTGGAAGCATATCAGACGGTTGGTTCTGGAGTTAATGCATAGGTGTTAATGCAAATAATAAATGACAAGCTTGTTAGCTAAGTCTGGAGTAGAGCTGTGGTGTATGGGGATTTCTGTAGCAGCTTTGGAAGAACATTACCCTCTACAGGCAGAAATGAGGTCACCAGGACACAGAAACCTGGCAGGAGAAATGAAGGGGGCAAAAGGGACTTAAATAATAACTGTAAAGAGTAAAGGATTTTGACCCCGCTATGTGACGTTGACTGGTGTCAAATGACTGAGGACAGGAAATAATGTCAGCAGTAAACTGAATCTTTGGGGGAACAGGAGCAAATAAAGCCACCTGAGTCATATGCTCCAGAAGAACATCTGGCAGTGACTAGAAGGAAGTGGTTGTGGTTGTTTGCAGCACTTCCAGATTTCCTGGAAGCCAGTGGTACTGTAGGAAAATCAAAGAGGGTGAAATCTTTCTAATTGCAGGTCCACAGGTACCGCAGACTTACAATTCATGCCAGTTGGAATGGGGAGGACAGTGCACAGTGCTAGAGAAATTCATTACATTTCAAGAATATTGTGATCAACACTACAATGAACCTTAGGGAGGCAAATTTTCTTTACGAGAAACAAGCTGCCAGGTCAGACTACTGACCATTATCTCATAGACCTATGTGGCTAAGTGATGTGGATATGGACAGTTAGACTAATTAGAGAGCCAATTATTTGTGGTATAATTGATAATCAATTCAGAGTAAGGTTACTACAAGAAATGGACTTGACTTTCAAAAAGAAAACTGGATGTTTGCCGGGCTAATGAAAACTGCTTCTCAAATGAACTTTAGCAAGGAGTGAAATAATTGAAGTGTATCTTAGCACTGAGAATATTACAACATACCAATGTGTTGTTATGATCACCATTTCAGAGACTGTGCCATTCCCAGCGAAGTTATCACCAGCCCTGCGGGTCAACCCTACTGGAGAAACAGAAGATGTATAAACAAAACCAAGGACATTGGCCGTCTGTTTCTTGAGGTTATTCAGAATGTTACTATTGGTGCACATGGGCTGACACAGACCACTGATGATGAACTATACCAAGAGAAGAAAATACAGACTTCAGGTGGCAGATCCTCCTCAGCACCGGAATGTGCAACTGCAGAAGGAACAATTTTGGCTCAGGAAGCCACTGGTGATGTTCAGAGATAGTAGTTACTGACAGATGTGTAATACAAAGCAAAACAATCCACTCCTCTGTTAAGAGAATACAAGTCACCTAACCGGATAGTCACCCGAGATGTCTTGGAGTGCTGTATTAATTTGCTATATTAGTTACATTTTATTTCAAGAGATTGTTAGAAAATAATGGGAGGGTGGGAGATGTGGGGGTAGAAGTGAGAGAAATGCCAAATATGTTTGTTTTATTTTCTTGTTGATGCTTCATTTTCCTCCAGATTCTCTAACCAACTCTAATTATTTATTTGATTTGAAAGAAACAAAGGGAACATGTAACAGCGGCCACTGGGTAGTGGTGCAGATATGGGATGGGATTTAACCAGGGGCTACAGAAGGGAAGTACAGCTTCCCATCCTGTGCTCAAAGGAGAGGGGAGCAACATGTCCTGTCCCTGAGCTGGGAGAGCAATGCTCCTCCCCAGCTGGTACAGTGCGAGCTCCCCCTTCTGTTTCAATTTACTTTAACTGCTGGGTATAACCCTTTGAAACGCTGACCCATGTCATGTGATTGAGACACAGTCTCTTCCCAGCACTCCTCTGTGTCATTCCTTCACCACAGTCATGTAAGCACCTACAGCCTGCTAGGTTCTTCGCAGACAGGTATAAAAACAAGAGGCCTGATTCTCCTCTAAATTGGGGTAGCTCCACTGTCTTCTGTCACAACCCTGGGTTTTCTATGACCAGGTATCCATTGCCTGCTGCCACTATCAAGCTTCTCACTTGGAAATTTTACCTCAGAACACTTCTCCCTTTGCTCCCTTGTTACAAAGACTCTGTCCCCATGCGCAGGGGTCCTCCGGTAATGATGTCTGTCCGTGTTACAGAAAATGGCAGCAAAGAAGTATTATCTTCCCACCCTAGGTTCTTATTTCTGCTGCAGCACTTCTACTTTGTGCCAACCCAGAGAGCTAGGAACTGAACTCAGCTCAGATCCTTTGCATGGCAACTCACCGTACTGGACCAAACTACTGGGGCAGCCCAGCTTATGGTACCGTAGTTGTTGCCTCTAAGTACCAAGGACCATTTGAGCAGCAATAGTCAGAAACCTAAAATACGGCAAAATAAAATCTTCTCTGGTTTGTGTGGTGCTTGGGAAGCAGCATCTAGAGAGCTGCTTGGGGTGAAATGGAGGTTCTGTCTGTACCACTTCTGAATTGTAGATGATTTTATTAAATTGTATCATGAAATGACCATGTCATGGAAAGCCTATATGTATGTGGATCCCCCATGAGCTAGCAGGGTTGTGTCATGTCTCTGCCAGGCCAGAGACAACAGTGAGTGATCAGCACTCAGCAATGGATCAGCCGGATCCTCCATTCAAAGAAAAACACCTTGGGACAATGGGTTTGCTCTAGCTGGTAGAAGATACTTCCTCCTCTCATCTGAAGGGAGGGGGAGCTTGAGAGTAGTGGAAAGTTACCAGGAGCAGAACAAAAGAATCAGTTGACCCAGCAGTATCTATAAAGGGACTCACAGAAGGGAGCGGGGACAGTCATTTTGCACCAGATTAAGATGAGGGAGGTTGCTGCAGGGGCAGGGTAGTAAGGGGGTGGAGACCCGTGCTGGCTTGCTTGCATGATTGACTGAGGGAACACAGATAATCCCCAAGGTCGAGTTAGTGAGGCACATTGCATTTAGTGTGTTTTATTATTTTGTGTGGTCTGTGCTCTGCGCCTGCAGGGGCTAGACAGCTGCACTGAGGGTTCCAACTCTTTGAGGGGGTGCTGGATAGAAGTCTGCACTCAGAACACCACAGGGACACCACAATTGAGAGCAGTGAACCTAAGAACGGCCATACTGGGTCAGACCAAAGGTCCGTCTAGCCCAGTATCTTGTCTTCCGACAGTGGCTGGACTCCATTCAAGATCCTAGAGCTTGAAACAACCTGAGAATCCAGAGTGCAGGGGCTTGGATTCCCCTTCCAGCAGTCCTAGTGGGTGGCAAGGAAGGGGTGCTCACTAGGGTCTGTGACACTGATAAATAATGTGCAGCATTTTCCTCTTAACTGACATGTTTGAATCTGTCTCCATTTGACAAATCAGGCTACTTATTATAAGTGATAATGTATAAATATTGCAGGCATTCATTTTACATCTGGATACCCAGAAAGTAAAAGCTGTCAGAATCGCCCCCTATACAGCAATTACTGTCCATGGGCCTTTTCCTTTCTCCTCCATCAACTGAAAAGGATATCAAGGGCAAGATGGAGTATAGGGAGATTTCCCTCTGCCTTAGGTTGAAAGATTTTTCCATATGAAAGGCATTTTTAGACTAATACAGCACTGGCCCAGGCAGTAGCACAGAGGAGCAGGGCTAATTTCTCTTACTTAGACAACATCTCCAGTAGCTAGCCTGGATACTACGCTACTTTTCCCATTCACATTGCAAAAGTCTGTCTTTTGTCATTAGCTTTTTCTTTTTCTTTAGAAAAATGGGTGAGTTAGGGTCTTATTCCCCAATGCTTGCATCTTGTGTAGTCACTTACATCTGGGTAAAGGGAGTGGAGAGAGGATGTAAAGCACTACCCATTCCTAGTGATTGCATTTTACACCCACTTTGCACTCTAATTCAGATGAATACACAAGGGGCAAAGCAATGGAGAGCTAGGGCTCTCAGTGCTTATAAAAGCAAGGGGCTCGTAGAATCAGCTAACGCCAGATAGAGTGCAAGGCAGACACTGAGCAGCCTTGTCAAGGCATCTCAGTCTTGAGCTGCAGCACCCTGTTTCATTTGGGCTATCCCACCTCTATCCTTCACATATCTACCATGACTTGGGTCACTCTGTGCTCTTCTGGTCCAGAGACTTCTCCACAGAGCTGCCTATACACCTGCAGGACCCACTGCTATTCCACTCGTAGATTCCTAACTTTGCTGGTATGCCTTAGTCCTAACTCTTGCTATTGTGGGTCTCCTGGGCAGTCATGTCCAGTTATGTTTTTCTACTATGCACAAATAGTCATTAGAGAGTAGGTCAAGCCCATCACACTCATTTTAATTACAACTAGATACTATGATGGGGGGAGGAGATATGCGATTAGAAAGACAGATAAGCTTTTCCTTTTCAGGCTTCTCAGAAGGCAAATAGAGACAAGGTCTGACTGCTCTTTATTTTTGCCCAGGGGTTGGAGAAGTTCCAAAAAGCATCTTAGTGATCACTGTGACACTATACATTGTAAGAAAAGAAGCCCTTCAGTGGTATTTGTGTGTGGCAAGAGTGAGTGTTCATGGCCCTGCTGCTGACAGGCTGCTATGAAGACATGTTTTCCAATACAGGTATTAAGTGCTTTTTTTAAAGTTAATTCTGGGATAGTCATTTTATTACAAAAAATTTCTTCAGCTCAGGCGTGGCCAGACCATCTGGTTGGAGTTTGCTCTGGCACAGCCCTCAATCCGTGGTGGACAGGCACAATGCCATTCTAGGCGACTGACTATAAGACAGAAGATGCAGGTTAGTACAGCAGTGGGGAAGACAGAACACATTCAATGGAAAGGGCTTTTTTTCTGGCAATCAACATATTTACTAATAACAATAACTCCTTTTTTAAAAAAACAACCTTCTGTCCATATACTGTATGTTGTTCTGATTTGCAGCCTCAGCCCACCAGTGGTGTTTTGTGGAAGGCCTGAAAAATAGACCACAGAAGTAAGCCATACATAGAGAACCAGTAGGTGTCACCACTAGCACTATGCAAAACTTGGGGGGTTTACCCCTTAGAGGCTTGCATGGCTGGTTCCTTTGATTCTCATTCCTTGAGTTTTGCTTTGAATTTCAAGCCCTAAACTCTCACTGCTGTGAATGTTACGTTATTTTGAAGTAAAAAACCATAAATTTGGCTCCCATTTTACTTAAAACCGAGGCAACTTGCACTCAAAAATTGGGCCAGGGCCGCAAAAAAAAAAAGTGTGAACGTTTCAGTGACCTTTTATGGAACTCTTTTGAGAAAGCCCTCTATAATTTAACAGTAATATATTTTCTGTGGCATGTTTAGATCAACCTATAGAATTCTATAATCGGGGCATGTATTTTGTATTAAATTCTATAGGATGGCATATTTAAAAAACCCTCTCTATTAACAAAAAGAAAAGGAGTACTTGTGGCACCTTAGAGACTAACCAATTTATTTGAGCATGCTCAAATAAATTGGTTAGTCTCTAAGGTGCCACAAGTACTCCTTTTCTTTTTGCGAATACAGACTAACACGGCTGTTCCTCTGAAACCTCTCTATTAAATAGAATTATTTCTTAGACTAATTTCTCTAGATCCCACTTTAATTTCTATAGAAGCCTATTGGTTGATTTCCTGTAACATTCTGCAGGCCTTTTTCCTAGGGCTGTTTGTGGATAGATAAGACTGTCTCAGAGCTTCTGGTTGTTCATAGAATGGTGCTATATGAGGCAGAGTTAGGGTTGTTTGGGTTAGATTACCTGCATGAATGGTTTGTGGGTTTCTGCAAAGTGAAACCCTAATCTGCAATTTTAAGGCTAACATTTTTGTTTTCTGAGAAAACAACAAAATCCTATGTTCTCTTAAAGTCTTTTTAAATTAAGAAAGTGACAGATTCTTTCATTTTTAACTCCAGACTCACAAAGATTTTCCCTTAGGCTTATGAATTTCTGAGACGCAGGAGCCCCTAAAGACCATTGCAAGTTGCTCAGGCATGGACTCCTTCTTTCCTAGACATCCTTCAACCTCCACATGTTGCTTCTTCCCTCCTATTTCTCATACCAAACCCTTTGTGACTTTCTCTCTTTTACTCTTCCCAGACAATTCCCACTGGACAGATGTGCTTCCTGGTCATCCGTTTCCTCCAGTGCAGCTGTCTGCATCTGTGCTCTGCACATTTTGCAACGCATCCAAGGCCAGGCACTCTTGACAAAGGGTGCATCAGATTGATGAATGAAAAAGCTGGTCAGAAATCCCCACTCCAAGCCCCAAGGCAAAAACTGGGAGTTTGGGGTCCAAAACTTGTCAATGGAAGCTCAACATTTTCCACAGGAAGTAGACATGTTTTATGAGAAAAATCATGGTGTCAAAACCCAGTTTTCCATAGGACATCAATTTAGACAAAAGATTTTTGACCAGTCCTAATGCATGTTCTATCGAACTATGAAACTGCTGTGTTTGTGTATGTGTTCAACGCACACGTGTTTACACATCAAAATATACAAGAGTTTTGTATTCTCATAGTAACATCTTCAAAAGCTCCACAGTCCCTACAATGCAGCCCTCAAAACCTATCAAAGGGATTTGTACTCGTTGGTCACACCTGCAGGAGTGAAAATTGACGTTTCCATGGCCTTGTCTACAGTGGAGTTGTTGCACTAGTGCAATCCCCTCACCTACACATACTTCATTAGTGTAAACAAGAGTGCACTCAACTGGGGTAAGCCATATGGCCTCTAATTAGTTTGCATCCATGCAGCCCCATCTCCACTAGGGATTTGCACTGGTTTAGCTGCATTGGGCGCTAAAATCCCTGGGGTAGACAAGTCCTAAATTAATCTGTTTTGGGAATGTGATGAGGCGAGGAAGTTTTTTTGCAAATCTATGGAAAGTGAAGGATGGAAGCTTTTAAGTGAAGCTCCTGTGAGCTGTGTGACTTTCTAGAAAAATCCGACCTTGGGATGGATGAGCTGTGCTTGGATCAGCCTGGTTCTGGTAAAGCTGGGGGTGGTAGGGCTATCTGAAAACTGGGTGTAGAATGAGAAGCTAGCTACGAGCACCCCTTTGTATTACTTACTTCACAAGGATTGTGTGAGAATGTTAGATGAAAGATGCTGTACAAGTGTGGACTCGTCTCATTGTTAATAGTTATTAGTAAAATCTGTAAAGAAAGAACTGACTGAAAAGTACTACAGCAGTCACTACATCTACTGCAGTTAAGGTTGCAAAGTAGTTCCAGTTATAAATCAGATGTTCACATTACAACAGGATTTACCTTTTGGGGATGAAACTTTCCATTCTTTGTCTCTGGACGTATGTTTTTGTTTTGATAGTTTGAACAGTCTTTTGGGACTGTTGTTGAGTTTGGTGACAGAGAGACTGGAAACCATCCTTTTCCTGGTTTAAAAACACTCTTACCACAATTTTTTGATCCGGGGCAGGGGCAGAATGCCTGACATCTGAAACTTGGCAAGGACACACTGTCATTCTCAGTGAAAGGAGTGCATTGTGCTGAGAAATTTTAAA